ATATGTTTTTCAGTCCCATTACTCTAGGACCAAGGAGTTTATTGGTCAACTGCTTTTGGATTAAATCAAGGGTGAGCAGCTATAATTTCAATTAATAATATTTAATGTCAATTTTTTGGGTACATAATTTTAAATCCACCTGTATGTTTTCAACCGTAGGATGATAAAATATCTAAAAGTTAAGGTGTGTCAAAATTTGTACTTTTTTGTGTGTCCCCAATCCTAATCCACCTAAAAAGAGGAAATATATAAAGAAAGAGAAAATGAAGACAAGATAAGAGAGAAGATGCATATTGGAGAGAGTATGAGAGAAAAAGAGATGAAGAAGATGGAAAGAGGATGAAAATAGAATTCTAGGGAGAAGATGATGAAAATAGAATTTTTCACGTGAACGTGTGTGTTCTTTTTCCCTAGTATAATTAAGCATGTATTAAACCGGGATTTGTGAGTTGTATTACTTATTCAGGTAAGGAGAGTATCAAAAGCCCAACCCGTTTAAAATAGTCAGGTAATTAAAGAATACAAGTTGACACCAAACAACTGATATGGACTCTTTACTCCTATCCAGAGTCTAATATGGTGTACCAAACGAGCCCTAAGTCTTATAAAGACCTCCATGACACTCTTAACTTTTCCAAGTTGGACAAATTCAACTCAAACAAACTCTATAGCCAACAAAGCTTAATTAGGAATAAGTGGTAGATTATGGAGGTGCTGGAGTATACAAGCCAAAAGTCCAGAGTGGAGATCGTGTACAAGCACTTAGTGAAATTCTTTTCATTTTTTACTTTCGCTGGGTGAGGTGGGAATAATCTAACCTAAAATGTCGTCCAATCCGACATAAATACAGGTGAATAGAACTGTAATTAATGACAATTAAAATAAAACAAAGAATCAATGTCCAATCTATTTTAAGAACTTACTTTTACGAGTCGTAATTGGAATGAGCATTAGCCCCCAAATTAATGACAGAAAAATAAATAAATGATAATTAAAAAATTTCCCTGATGATAAAAGTGATCGTCCACTAAATTAATTTAATCTTTCTTTTAATCCCACTAAATTAAATTCACCAAAGATAGCATCAATCTTATCTGGTGCTTGATTAAAATGTCTGGCTCAAGTCCTCGTCCAAAGTAAATGGAATGAAGAGATGTCACAGAACTAAATACGTCATCTAATCCAACAGGTTCTATTGCTATTCATATATATATATATATATATATATATATCACATTATTATACCACCTTATGTGGCAGATGAAGTGGACATTCACATCAATTAAAAGTGTCAATAAATCATAAAGGAAAATAAAATATTTAATTAATTTTATTTAATATAACTATCCACCTCATCTGCCATATAAGATGATATGAGAATGTTACATACAAGTATATATGATAAAAGTAACATTATTCAATTCTAATCATTTCTATTCTAATTGTATCAAATGTGCCCAAATTAAATAAGACAATAAACAACAAAAGAGACAAGCAACTTTTGTCGGTATTGTGATTGGCTTGGAAAAAAGATTATAGAGCACTGAGAGATGGAAAGTGCAATTTGCTTGAGAATTGCAAAAGATTTGGAGCTGCAACATCTCTCATGTTTATCGATAATTAATGAATGGTGCTGCTGACCAACCTGCTTCCCTTGGATTTTCTTCTCCTTTAGCCCTTCATATTTTGGAAGTTGCTACGATGCCCTTGCTGTGTATTTTATTAGAGAGTTATTCACACTAACACCTCTTTTGATTTTTTTATTTTGATTTTTCACAAAACACACCTAAGGTTTCAGAGATTACATGGATACTCTTTGAGGTTTTAACTTTTTTTCACAAAATCCCTTTACATTGATTTTTTCGTCTAAAGATTGATGATTTTATATATGTAAAAAAATTGAGTTATTTACACTATAATACCCCCTTAAGTTTTCGGTTTTTTCACAAAACCACCTGAGGTTTCAGAAATTACACAAACACCTTTTTGTTGAGGGGTTTTGTGAAAACAGTTTAAACCCTCAAATGGTATTACCCCAAAACCTCAGGGGGTTTTGTAAAAAAGTCGAAAACTTGAGGGGGTGTTATAAATAACTCTAAAAAAAATTCTCCAAATGACAAAGTTATCCCCTGAGATTAGATTGCACATACATTTATTGAGGATACTTTTGTCATCTAACAAAAATGGGTTTCTTTTAAACAAATTGAAACTTCAGAGGTTGTTCGTGTAGGTTTTGAAATCTCAAGGGGTTTTGTGAAAACACTAAAACCTCAAGGGCTGTTAGTGTAAATAATTGATAACCTACTTAAAGAAGGCTTTAAAGAAGTCACTTCGATGAAACATATAATTGGAATGACCACTAGTGCTTCTTTATGGTTACGGAATTTAAACTCCAGATCATAACCAGCTAGAATTCTCAAACCTACGGCCACTTTTCTTTTCTTTTTATTTTTATTTTTTTGTTGATTCAAGCGATAATAAAGAATGGGGATATTATGCTCTTAACTGCCTGAGCTATATCTTTATGGTTATGGAAAACAAACTCCAAATCATAACCAATTAGAAATCTCAGACGTAAGGCCACTATTCTTTTTTCTTTTTTCTGTTAATACAAGCAATATTGGGGAGGGAAGGGGGAAGAAGGAGGGGGATTGAACTAAGGAGACCTCGGGTGCAAGAGTTAATGTTCTTAACCACTTGACATATAAATCTCTTGCACTTAAGTTTAATAAAGCGATATTCTAAATTATTGCAGAGAGAAGGATCGAACTCGAATGCAAGGAGTGGGCACATTATCTTGGCCAACTATCCTAAACCACGTCTACAAACATAAGGCCACATCATTTTCTCCTTAAGTATATTAATATAGTGTCAAATTATTCTATACAAAATTCGATATCATTTGACCACTCAATTAAATTATTGAAATTTTAGTAATTTATTAAAGCACCTGTTCATTGATTTTGTAAGACACAATTAGATATCTAAACGGTTTCCTAAAGTGTGTCCCTCAAATTATTTTATATATATATATATATATACAGAGAGTTTCTATTAAGAGATTCCTCAAATTAGCTTATTTGATGGACACCTTTGTAAGGCCCACTTTACATTGTATTTCACTAATTCAAACTGTCCATGTTTTAGATAATCATTCAAAGATCATCTTTATAGAAAATCATTTGAATCCGATATCGTTTGACCACTCAATTGTGTTATTGAAATTTTAGTACTTTCTTGAAGCACCGTGTTCATTGATTTTGTATGACAGAATTGGATATCGAAACGTTTTTCAATTTGTCTAATTTTTTGCAAAGATGATCTATGAATGTAGATTTAAAAAATAGATGGTTTGGATTGTTGGAAAAAAATTAGTAGGATACCTTAAAGAGTGTTTCTTAAATAAAATTATTTAAAGAATCCCTCAATAAAATGACACTTTTATATATATATATATATATATATATAGAGGAAATTTAGAAAAGTGGGACCAAGGCCATCCTCGGCCTTAGTGGCTCTGCCACAGAGCCCATTAGCAATGATACCGAGTATTTGGGTCGCTAGGTTTTGTCACCTAGATTGTAGTACTCATTTATCTCTCACTCTCGGATATATGAATCCAAAGTTCTTATTCAAACCAATCAATTTTTCAATTTCTTTTTTAAAAATCAAGCACAACAGCTCCGAAGCAACCAAGGTAACCATAAATAATAAAAGTAAAAGCAAACCAAAATTCTTACTCAAAACTTCAGAAGCAAAGTTTCATAATTCAATTAAAAAGAACGTAGTCTATTTCTCAACGAAGGAGTCAGGCCTTTGTTTTTCAGAGTATAATTCATTTTTATTTTTTTGCCGAAGTTAAGAAGGGGAGGAGGTAAACTCACAAATACGAGTATCACAGTTACTTGAACTCACCACACCACTTGAGAGCACATCTAAAATCTGGCCAATCCAACTCACACCCTATTAGAACCTCAATTATCATTTATGAAACATTCATAAATTGTTGTCTGGTGGGGCAGGGGTCTGTCGGGGAGGGGGGGAGTGTGTGTAATTGTGGGGTGGTGGTGGGTATGGCAGCTTAGGGATTCCAATGCCTCTGTTGGTGACCAACTGCCGAGTCTTTCTCTCTCTCACCAACGGCCCACCACGACCCAAACTCCCTTCTTTTTTTACAATTTTTTTCTTTTACATATTTTTATTTTAGGTTTCTCTGGTATTCCCCCTTGTAAAATGATAAACTTGCCCCTGTAATTGAAGGAAAATTGAATGGAGTTGTGAAAACTAAACAGTAAGTGCATGTTTGGCATTGCTTATTTGGAGTGATAAGTAATTTTTAAAAAAATTTAGGAAGCCCAGGCCGTTTGGTAAACTATGAGAAAATCACTTATTGTTAAAAATTGCTCTGAGAGAAAACTATAAAGGAAAACAGTTAATAAGGTGCTTTCATTTTTTGATTATGCAGGAATCAGTTTCAAATGGGTGTTGGGTTTAATGATTATCTAGGTCCTAGAATCTGCATCTAGCTATTCAAATCATCTCTCATTTATATC